CACGGAGCAGGGAGCCCAATGTGGGGCTCGATCCCAGGACCCCGGGATCATGACCTGAGCTGAAGGCAGATGCTTAATGACTGAGCCACCCAGGTGCCCTGGGAGTCAGATTTTTAAATTTTTGTTGTACACAGCTTAACTCATCATAAAAGTTTTAGAAATCCTGTGTATTTCATAGTCACTAATGTGTCCTCAGAGGAATTTCAGACCTAGATTATACCTTACACAACGCAGTCCTTATCAGAAGAGTGCCAACGTGTAAGAGCTTTAACACCCAGTCGGAAAGAAAACTCCGACTCAATCTCTTCCTCTCCTCTGCTGAACTGATGTGAAGACTGAGATTACTTCTGACTGAGACCGGCTATCCCGCTGACTTGTCTCTCGTCGCTGCAGCACTATTTACTGCTCCTCCCACTGGGGACACGGCCGCTGGCTCACTGACATGAGGACCAGCTGCTGCAGATACGCATAAGCGAAGCCCCCACAACAGTTTCTGGAAGCATGCATTTGCTTTAGAGTGGACCACATTTCCAGACGTTTAGGGTATGGAGAGCTGAGGACAAACGTCAGCACTCGTGCCTCCAGCAGGTGCTCCCCGCAGCAGTGCCCCGTCACAGTCACTCTGGGTGTTTAGAGCGCGTGTGCAAGCTCTACAGAGCATCCTGCCTACGCAAAGCCCCAGCCCCACCTGCTACCTACCATTCTGAATCATGTAGTGCAAAATCTGTTCAATGATGGACACCACGTAGCTAGCGTCTTGTAAAACAGGCAAGTAAGTATTCTCAGATGAAAACACCTCAAGCATCCTCATTGGAAGTGCAACATTCAAACTGTCATCATTACAGTTTTGCAATAACCTGTAAAAACAAACCAAAACAAAAAGTATTCACATACTTACTGCATGGCAAATGTCATCCCAAACGACTCTCATTCACTATGGTGTTTGAGCCACTCTGTTCTAGTACTAGAGGTCTCTGAAAAGAGGCATGACTTGAGGATAGACAGGACAACAGCTTACACTTCCTTTGGAGTACTTATTACTTGCCCAATAGCATGCTGACACTGGGTTTGTAGAGATGAGAAATGCACAATCACAGAGGGAAAAACAGACAAGAAAAATCAAAGACCACAAATGTAGTGTGAGAAGTGTTATAATCCATGGATCTCGCTAAAAGTGCTTAACTCCTTCAAAGAGCTCTTCAAGACTTTCCACATCTGTGAGAACTTGCTGACTTGATGGGATTTACCTGCAACAGAGGCTCATCAACCTCTTTATTTGAAATAAACATGTAAGTCGCTCAGATCCATCCAACTGCTGGACAAACAGAGAGCTGTGTTTAATTAAGTTCTGATACATCCATATCTGAAACAGCAAAAGATACAGATCACTCTCAATCCATAAAAAGCTCATTGTTTACAGTACATAACAATCCAAATTTCCTTAAGTGGTAAATAGATACTTAATCAAAACATGATAAAAAGTAAAGCTTCTAAATCAGCTTTTATTTTGTAGTATATACCACACGTCTTTGACTTTCTATCTTAAAATAGCAAATCAGTATTAAGCTAAATCTCTAAATTTATTACTAGAACAAGTACACTTAAAACTCATCTAAATCTGAAATAAAACAGCTCATTTGCAAAAATGAGCAATCCATAGTAAAAACACACGAGAAATACAGTATTAATGCCAAGGTGCACAAGGATATCTGTTTCTTTGTTTTACCTTTTGCCTCTGTGTCTCCAGCATCCTTTCCGTTTGGATACTCCCCTAACTCCATGAAATTTTGGTAGGAAACCGATCATACAGCCCCACTCTGCCCAGTAAAAGCTCAGGTATGTAGTATGTGAGGTGACAAGAGACTGGACAGATCCTTTCATAATGCTGACATATATCAAATCATCATGGCGTACCCTTTAACTATCTTAAAATTTTGCCAACCATGCCTCAGTAGAGTTGGAAAAAAGTCAAGGATGTGCCAGGGTGAGGAGAACTCCCCATTCTCCTGGACACAACGACTGGGCAGTGAATTTAGCAAATGTTGAGTAAGATTTCTAACTTGCACCCAGGAGGCCTATCTGCTATGGACATAGCTACCATAAATGATTTTGAAAACTCAGCACTTAACAAGGAAGCTCTTCTACTTTCTGTACTATATTTTTGTAAAACCGACTGTTACTTGTTCATTTTGTAAGACCCATTTAGAACCGGTTAAAATTAAGACAGCCTCTTAAATGTGGCCACTTACAAATGTGCCACATTCTTTCTTTGCCTGTTATCTGACAGGAGCACTTCTTCATATAAAATGTTATCAAACAAAATACTAATGCAGAAGTGTTTTATAAAACAAATTACAATAGATCCTAAGTTAGGTGGAGATAACTCTGTGACCCATTCCAAATACGAATTTGCCTACACACAAGGTTTCTTCTTCACGTGTTTGGAGCTACCCTGTCCATATTTTCTCAGGAACCAACAGGATACAATACTTTCTGTACTATCTGACATGTAGTTCATTCTAAATTGCATGCTATCTTAACAAGTAAAAATAGCATGTACAGTAACTAAACATTATAAAAATCTAAAGGACAACTGTAGGAACTTCAAGAATAAGGCTGTCAATATATTAACCAAGTAATTGTTTCAAGTTGCTTATGAAATAAAAAAAAAAACCTCAAAGCAGTAGTGATACTTTACTTAAACATTCTCTGGACTGTGTTTTGAAGATTTTATTTATTTGAGAGAGAGAAGAGAGAGCTCAAGGGGAGGAGCAGAGGAAGGAAGAAAGAATCTCAAGCAGACTCTGTGCTGAGCGTGGAGCCCGACGTGGGGCTTGATCTCACCATCCTGAGATCACAACCTGAGCCGAAACCAAGAGTCAGACGCTTAAGCGACTGAGCCAGCCAGGCAATCCTGGACTGTGTTTTGATACTGTATTTCACAACCTTGACAAATGTACCAATAACATCCAAAAAGTTGTACATTAAACACTTACTTTGCCTAACTTTTTGTTACTATTTACTAAATGCAGATGAGTAAAGTTTTAAAAACATCTTATTCATTCTTTCTTGGGAAGTCAGCTGAGAATATGTATCAATAAAATGAGGGAGTAAACCAAGAAAGCAAAAAGATAATGGAATCAGGAGGGAGGATCTAAAACTGAAGCAAAGCAAGTGATTTTCCCAAGATAATGACACAAGAATTTCCTGGAATCCAAGAAGATTAGCTCCAGGGAAACAGAGCATCAGACTAGCTGACATCTTTGATCATGGACAATTATCCTGAGCAGCACTTTATAGTACTGTCAAAAGTAGAGGGCAACTTCATCAAGAGACTCAAAAAAAGTTAAACAAAAGTGAGGCAATTATGAACTCCAGAATAATTAAATATAATCAGAGTACACTATTTTAGCAGAGACCATAATTTATTTTTTATTTTTTAAAGATTTTATTTATTTGACAGAGAGAGAGAGACAGCGAGAGAGGGAACACAAGCAGGGGGAGTGGGAGAGGGAGAAGCAGGCTTCCTGCGGAGCAGGGAGCCCGATACGGGGCTCAATCCCAGGACCCTGAGATCATGACCTGAGTCGAAGGCAGACGCTTAACGACTGAGCCACCCAGGCGCCCCGAGACCATAATTTAAAGTCATAATAATAAAAAATAAAGGGAGGAAATGCAGAAGATACAGCCATATATACCTAGCTTTGCAAGAAGCATCTTAGAAAAACACAAAAGTGGCATCATGCTTACTCCTGGGAGGGAATTAGGGAGCATGGAAGACTGGGGCAGAGGGCCTCTTTCCCCACACGATTAATTTGTCGTTCTTGCATTTTTGCTTGCAAACTGAATAAACATTCAAGTTCACTTTTGTTCTATTAACCAGGTTTGATGACATTTAATTCTATTTAGGGTTTCAGAATCCGCACAGGAGCACTTTGCTTTGTTTTGCTTAAGGCCTGGCGGCAAACGTACGTGAATTCTGCTGAAGCAGCCGTGTGGGGACCACAGACGGACCCTCACACAGGAGCATGGCAGGAGCAGTTCTCCAGAGGAAAGGGGTGCTTTCTGTACTATCTTATGACATAATGACTGGCATAAATGACTGGCACCCCCCCACGGCACCCACACGTCGGTGCTCCTTAGTCAAATCTCAATCTGTAAGACTTGAGTACACAAAGATGGTGATGGCCTGTTCCAGAAAGCAAGCCTGATTATCTGCTACTGTACTTCTCTGATTCATTTTTTCATGAACTTCAGATAGAAAGCCTGGAAAGAGGCTACACTTAAGGAAAGTCTAGAATGGGCAGATGAAGCCACTTTTACTGCCTCTCTAGATTGGACCTAGTTTATGGAAAGTTCTTAGGTTCCAGCCTAGCTCAACTCAGGAAGGAATGTTGCATTCATTTTAAAGCCAAACAGCAGATAAGCAATAAACTGTTCCTGTATTTATATTTCTTATGGGGATCTTTGTAGTATGTATGGTTGTAGTACGGAAGACTTCTCATTTTACACCATCTTCCAATATAATTTGAAATTTCTGTTACGAGTAAACAAGAATTCCTAAGAATAAGTACATTTTTAATCTAATAATTACATAAGACATCTCTTAATATTTCCTGAGAAAATGGACACAATAACAAGTTGCATTTTTAAAAAGTTGATTCATCTACACACCCATCAGTATTTTCCAAAGCCGTTCCTCATCACTGATAACATTAGAAGCCTATGTTTGACATTCTTATAGTTATATTTGGGATGTTTTAAAAGCGAGACCCTGTATGTTAGAGATTTCGAGTATTTACAGATAACATGCAAGAATATTTAGGATGCCCGTCACAGTGACGGAAGGGAAGGCACAGGTATGGAGGGCTCTGGGTGAGATGGGTGTTGATGACTATGGACACTGAGTACTGGCTAGATGGTGGATGGATCAAGACAGTATTCTACTTTTTCTTTCTTATATATATACATATATATATATTTTATTTATTTGACACAGAGAGAGACAGCGAGAGAGGGAACAGAAGTAGGGGGAGTGGGAGAGGGAGAAGCAGGCTCCCCGCTGAGCAGGGAGCCCAGTGGGGAGCTCGATCCCAGGACCCTGGGACCATGACCTGAGCCGAAGGCAGACGCTTAACGACTGAGCCACCCAGGCGCCCCATTCTACTTTTTCTTATATTTGAAATTTTCCATAAAAAAGAAAACAAAAAACAAAAAAAACCTACTGACAGTTTATTTGGCTCTTTAATAGGTAAAGCACATCACCACAAAGGTGACCTATTATGGCGGGCTGAGGGTAGTTCCCAAAGGCACACGGGAGGGTTATCTGACCCCATTAAAAAAGCAAGCTGGAAAACACATAAACAATGGTAAGTGAAAGCGCAGTTGGCACTCACCAAACGTTTCGAGTCTTCGTTCTGCTTGTAGAAAAACAGAAGCTGCCTCACCAAAAGGGTAAGGTTGGGGCCACTGGCAACGGAGAAAGTACCACCGGACTGAGAGGCGGCGGCGCAGCGATCGAACGCGCTTCTCTGGACCGCGTGCTGGAGGCGACACAAGATGACAGCAGGTGTGACGGGGAGGGGTGCGGCCGCGGTGGCCCCAGGGAGCACCTGGGGCTGCGCGGCGGGCGGGGGCGGGGCTGCGCGGCGGTGGGGGGGTGGGGCTCCCAGTCTGGGTTCCGCTGCCCGCGCCATTCGGACCGTTCTCGCGGAAAGGTGAAATGAAACCCAGAAAACTTGGGATGGAATGAAGACCCTTCAATCCCCCAAAGACGCTTCCAACACTTCCACCTTTAGCTGCGGCCCAGGTTGCTATTTTATTATTTAAAAATCACCTCAAAACTCCCCTGTCTATAAATCTTTATGTAAATATAAACTACTAAAATTAATTATTGGGGAAAACACTATTATCAACATTAGCTTTGATTACACAGGTGTACTAAAATACCCACAAAATGGATTCCACTTCTAAGACTCCGAGGCCTTATTTATTTATTTATTTATTTATTTATTTGACAGAGAGAGAGACACAGCGAGAGCGGGAACACAAGCAGGGGGAGTGGGAGAGGGAGAAGCAGGCTTCCCGCGGAGCAGGGAGCCCGATGCGGGGCTCG